ACTGAAGAAGAAGAAAACAACGAAAAATAGGGAGAAAAAAAAAATTTGTTCCCAACGCTGATGGCATGAGCTAATACCAGTAACTAATCCAAACTTTTATAATTTCTCAAATTCCAGTAGTTTTTGGACTCTTAACATGTTTTAGCAGATTTACTTACCGTTCTATGAGCGTTCAAAAAAAGTTAGAAATAGAATGTTCATTTGAATAACATTATTTTTTTCAATGGTCATGGACACCTGATTCAGCCATAGTTGATTCACATTTTCTAGTGCAAGAATCCTCATTTTTTATGAAAAAATTACCTAAGTCAATAACAAAATAAATGGCTTGATACCTTATATTTTTTCAAAGCAATAATTATAATAAAATTATCCGAGTATATTTTTTGACCTAGGTAAAGGTTTAACAAATCATTAACCTATGCATGTTTAGTATAGGATGAATAGGATCCTTTTTAACATAGGTACCTAGGTATATAATATTACAATTTTTATAAATTATAATTATACAGTTTGAAGGAATAAAATTAAGTTGACATTGTAAATTGACCCATAGTGTTATTGCTACTGATAAAACTAAAAAATAATAACTGTTTTTTGTTGGATTTCCCAATATTTTTTAACATCTGAATAAAAACAAATGACCTATGACCACCTTATTGAGATTTATAAATATAATCAGCATTTTATTTACAACCAACATGTTTACTCACCTCTTATGAGTAAACATGTTGGATGCAAATTGAAATAGGTAATGCTCTAAAATTATATTTGTCCCCTTTAAACTTAGTACCCAAAGTAGGTCAATTCGAAAATATTTTTTTTTTTTTATAAATTATTTCGAGTAAGGTTAAGATGACATTCCAATTGAGATTTGAGATTGCGTTTCTATTGACCCAGACAGGTACCCACACCACATAAAGAAACGGAACTTGTTGTTAATTCACGTTTTGCCTCGGGCAATATATTATACTAAAATATAGGTAATTAATTGGACAGTAGGATGTTCACTTCTTGTAGCCTACTTTTATTTTTATAACTCATAGTGATTTTATAAGATATAAAATTTGATGGCTGAAAGTTTGTTAATCAAGGGTATTTCCTTTACTCGTTGATGCCTTATTTTATAGGAATCAGGATTTCTAATTGTTCCTGAAATTTTGGAAGTCGTCCAACAGTTTCGAGAAATTATCTTTGAATTTACAAAAACTTTTATTGTCTAAACGAAAACATTGAACTTTTATTATGTGTTTTTATTTATTTACAATTAATATTCGGACGAAATATCAAAGTGATAAGACAAAAAAAAAATCTATAGTCCAAATGAAACCTCAAATCTCCTATTTATTTATTTATTTGTTTTTGGGTTAGTTTTAGAATTACGGCCTGTAATATCACACCTGGAACATCCTGGACGACCCTGTCTTTCAACCCGTAAACGCCTGTAGGTAGGTAGGAAATTGTCAGAACGACCTGCGAAAATGGGTTGCTTTGCGATGGGATGAGAAAACAACGAGTCTTCCTACGCAGTTCATTATATAAAGACACTTGATCATCAGCCTATAGCTGTTCCACAGTACCGTTGATCTCCTGCACGTAAGTAATTACTGAAAACTGAAATTGACAAGCTCTTGGAGGATCATATAATCGAAGAATGCGAGAGCTCATGGAGAGCCCCGGTGGTTTGGTACCCGAAGGTCCAGGTGGTAAAAACGTGCGTGTTCATGTGAATTGTCAACGACTAAACGCAACTACAGTTAGTGACAAGTACCCGCTACCGGGACACTCGACAAAAAGAACTTTTCACATGTCGTGTTTGGAATTGCGTTCCGCATATCACCAGATAAGTCTTCATGAACCTGATCGTGATAAAACAGCCTTTACTACTCCTTTTGGAACTTATCGTTTTAACAGGTTGCCGTTTGGACTGAAAAATGCACCTGGAACTTTTCAGCGCTTGATCGATCAGTTTCGACATGGACTCAGTAACATATTAGTGCTAGCGTACCTAGACGATATCTGTGTGCTCTCCAAGACTTTTGAGGTACATATCGAGGACTTAAAACTCGTGTTTTCACGTCTCCGCCAATTCAATTTACGAGCGCTCATCGCGCAGAGGTCCACCCATAAGTTCCGCAACAATTCATTTATTTGTACTTGAACAAGCCATCTATTTACCAATATGTTGTTCAAGTACAATACTAACTAACTTGATTCTCTCAGTTGTGAGTTTTTCTCATTAGTTCAAAAAATACACGTTTCAGGTGAATGTTACTTGAACAGTTCAACAGTATATTGATGAGTAGATGGCTCACCCGTAAGTTCCGCAAAAATCCACTTATTTGTACTTGAGCAATAACTTATTATATAAAGACAAAATTTGTAAGATTATTCACTTTTTGTCAATTTGCCTTTCAACAGGAATTAGTAATGTTACTTTACCAAACCAGTAACATAATGTGATAAGTTATTCAAGTACAAACGAGTGGATTGTTGCGGAACTTATGGGTGGACCTCTGCGGGACGAGCGCAGCGAGTTCCGCAGCCATCTACTCATCAATATACTGTTGAACTGTTCAAGTAAGACATTCACCTGAAGCCTGTAGTTTTTGAACTAATGACTCACAACTGACAGAATCAAGTTAGTATTGTACTTGAACAACATATTGGTGAATTGATGGCTGCGGTCCACCCATAAGTTCCCCAACAATCCATTCGTTTGTACTTGAATAACTTGTCACATTATGTTCCTAGTTTGGTGAAGTAACATTACTAATTCCTGTTAAAAGGCAAATTGTCAAAAACTGGATAATCTTACAAATTCTGACTTGATATAATAAGTTATTGTTCAAGTACAGGGTATTTTTTTTTTACTTACACCCCACCTACAGCCTTTACCTTTACAGGTAGATGAAAAGTGTAAATACAAAAGTTGTACAGTATTGGCTAAATTTTTAGAATCCATGGTCAGAAACAAAAATTGAATGTCAGAAATGTGGAATGTTGCATGCTTTCAGCTTTTTTCAAATGGGATGCCCTACATTTGGTTCTATATTATTGAAGAGCACATTTTCCCGATTCCAAAACTATATGGTTTGTCTATATTTGGTTAAGCCGTCTCCAGCATATTTGGTTCTAAAATTTTTAAAAATACTATTAGAGAAACCAAGTACCTCAAATTTTACCTGCAGCTTTCATCTGTTTAGGTAGAATAATTCACAAAATCAGTAGTAGGATAGTATTCTTACAATTTTTGGAGCCGAATATATGAGAGACTGTTCACTCAAATATAGACAAATTATATATTTTTGGAATCGGGGCATTGTGCTCTTCAAAAAAATAGAATGAAATATAGGGCATCCCATTTGAAAAAACCTGGAAACATGCAAAATTTCACATTTTTGACATTCAAATTTTGTTCCTGACTATGGCTTCTAAAAATTCAGCCAAAACTGTACAATTTTTGTATTTACACCTTTCTTCTACCTATAATGGTAAAGGCTATAGGTGGGGTGTCAATACATAAAAAAACACCCTGAACATATAAAAATCAGGCTTTTTGATAGGGTGTTTCATTAAAAATAAGGCAGTACTTTTCATTAAAAAAAATCGCATGTCTGTAAAACCACATTTTAGCAAATTTTAGGATTCGGCAAACTGTGTGAGAAAAAAAACTTATTCTCCTGGAATAAACGGCATCTCGTTATCTTTTCTCGTTTTCGAGATATTACCTGCAAAATGTGTCAGTTTATCTAAGGACACTCTGTAGTTTGACTTCATAATTTAAAAACCAATATTCTGAAGTTTTGTCTATTTCTATAGATTTTCCAACAATGAAAAATTACTTTATTTTTCATATAGGAGGCTACTCAGGTATGCCGAAATTTGAAAATGCTAAATTCGGTTTGACGATTTTTGCAAATACTGCTAGTTAAGTGAGTGAAAATGAGTCACTAATGAATATTTCATTTAACATTAGGCTGGAACTGTGACACAATTTACAAATAATAGAAAAATTATAGCAATACATGTTCCTTTAACCTTTTCAATGTATTGTTAGTTTAAAGGCTCATTGAGTCATTGTCCTGATTTACAAAAGAAAGATCTTTACTTTTGTTTTAGAGTACAAATTTTTCAAATTAATTTATGGAATTTATGAAAGATCTGCAACTTCACTATCTATTTGATTTTAATTTTTCTCTAATAATAAAATGATGTATGCACTTCGAAATAAAACAAGGCAAAGTTACTTAATGGAAATACCAAAAAGCAAACAGAATTTCCCAAAAATATGTGAATTTTGTAGGGACTAAAAATGTGGGATGTGAGAGAAGGCATGCTTGATTTTTTGATTTAGGTAAGGCATTTTGGCAATTTAGTAGTAAGGAAGTAAGAATCAAAATGAAAATAATTAAGAGAAAAATAGAGAAAGACAAAATTATTTTTTCGGAAATGTATAATTTCCGAAAAAAGTAATTTATCAAAAATGTGTCAATATTATTGAGAATTCCAATCATTTTTAGAATTTAGGTACTGCTAATGCGATTCCTAAATAGGTAGGTACTTAGTTACCTCAAGTTTCACATATTTGTTAAAATTAATTTTTATTTAATTAATTTTGTATTATAGAAAACAAGTTTTGTAACTGAATTATATTAGCAGCTGATTCTTACTTCTAAGTTGTTTCACATTTTATTTATTTTTTATGATTTTTACATTTTTCTGTTAAATCCCTAATTTCAAAATCTCATATTCTTCTATCTAATCTGGTACTTATTTATTTATTTTTTTTTAAATTTTTCAACCCCCAATAAGGGATTTCTGTCAAAATAAATTTTTGACCAAAATAAAAATTGAAAAAAAAAAATAAGTACCTATCTACTAATAAAGATGATGGAACATGAAGAAACATTCCAAAATTTAATTTATGAGATAATAAACAAAAATTAAATTTAAAAAAAATTAAATTAAAAAAAAATTAAAAATTAAATTGAACTTACCAAAAAAAATTTAAACAATTAGACTCATCCCAGTTAAAAAAACCGAAGAAAAATGTACAAACACAAAAGACACTTGAAAATAATCCTTAACTTCAAAGTCAAAAAAAAAAATCAAAAATATCGAAGCTCTAATAAAACAGTTCTACTATATTCATTCATAAACCGTCGAATATAAAATAATAATTGGATGAAACAAGGTACTTAATAACTTATTATCAATAATTAAAGGTACCCGGACAACTGAACCAAACGAATGCGCTCCTAGCGACTATTTGCATACACTATAGGAAAAATAAGCATCGCCGCCAAATTAATATTGTCCGATGATTGGTGACGAACCAGTTTCGTCATAATTGACGAGGACCCATGAGAAAAAAAATTGTTTTCTTATACTTATACTCAAAAAAAATTATAATGTCATTCCGAAGTTTGAAAAAAAAAAAAAAAAAATTGATGATGGTACTGCTTGAAGCGAAGGCCGAAATTTATGACAAGTAGGTAAATACGCGTGGTGCGTGACCGAAGAATACCCGGAGCACCTTCATCAAAGCTACGGTTCCGAGAGTGCGGTTCACGCAAAAACTGCAACCAAAGACTTCAGACGAAAAATATCGTCGTAAGTCGGAGAATGTTGATGGTGAGAGGAGAGAAGTGGTTACTGTAACGTGGGGTATAGAGACCTAATTATTTGCCATTATGGCATAGAATGTTGCTGCAGGTATTATTTTGAATATTGTGCGTAATTATTTCCTAATTTAATCGCTATGTTTGGAAAAACTTGTTTTTCTTCTCCGCGTTTTCAATAAAGAGCACAAACCTATGAATACTGTCATCATTGAAAGTGATATAGCTTATTAACTCGAAGTAGTTCTAATGAGTATTCGAAGTTGCACACCGGGATTGAAGAGGGTCAGAAAATCAAGGAAAATATCGTCGTTTCCAGTTCTCCTGTTTCTAAGGTAGTCGCAATCCAGTTCGAACGTCTTGATCCTTTCGGGCCAATCAGGTACTTTTACTGTCCATTTTTCATTTCAACCGCAAAAGTCTGAGAAGGTGTATTACTGAAGCAATGCCACTATTAGAGGATTTAATGACAAAAATTCGGAAATGTCCAAAACGGACGCTGCTTCGTAAGGCGCCGAACAAACCCTTCCGATGAATTCCGGGAAATTGAGGGATTATAAAAGTTGATTCAAGGCTTGTCGCCTTTGGTTTTGGAACACCAGAAGATTCCATTTGGGAATAATTTGCCTAAAAGACAACCGTGCGAGATTGATTCGCAAAATGGTACTCCCAACGACATCCTGGAGACAAATTCTCAAATTATAAGGGCCATAAGTACCCTGAAACCGTACCGATTTTGGAAAAAAAGACACAATGTTAATAGATAAAGTACTAATCACCTGTCAAGAGATGGATGTGGTACTCGCTCGCAAACAATTACAAAAACAATAAAAACTCAATTTGAAGCAAATTCTATAACATTTTCAACTTATAAGGGCCATAAGTACGCTGAAGGCCTGAAACTCTACCGATCTTAAAAAAAGACACAATGTTCTCTCTCTGGGTGGTCAAGATCATCCCTTGGTGACGTCATCAGAATGGCGGATTTGAGTCAGAGTAGCAAATTATATTATCGCACGTATCGTAGTTACTTTATTACCCATTTCACGTTTTAATCCCATTTTAAAGCGCAGGTTATGCTCTTCAGAAAGGGTATGATTCAACTTTTCTTTAAGAAGGATAGTTTTCGCACAACTCTGTAATTCATTGAAAATACAGTATCGCCATAAGCAATCAAGAATCAAGGTTATATAAAAATATCTCCGTATGAAAATTTGGTATTAACGGCGTGAGACACATTTTTTCATTTCAATATTTTTTCAGCCTCTATCCAGACATTTGCAAATCCTTGCAAAGTTCTGGTAACCTATATGAACTTACAACTAATGTACATATATGTCGCATTCTCATAATGAAATACGCCACTTCTTGAGAGCTCTTATTTTCTTATTTTATAAAGCGCAGACCAGGCTGCATGTGCATGAAATGTCCCAAAACTGATTCCACTATTTATGAAGTGACGTATTTCCCTATGGCTACGATATATAGGTACTTACATTATTTGACAGTGATGATATGATATGCCTTTCAAGATGAAAATAATAGAACAAATATTCAACTGAAAAATCCTTTATTTACATAAAAGACAACTTCATTCACGAGTACATTGACCTTCACACTTGCAGAGCATTGTGCAACTTAACGCACTTTTCACTCAACGACAACTTGATGTGCAACCCTGCGTACATTTACATGCGATCAGCTCCTGAAGTTTTTCCATTGAAATATCTGGATTTGTTGACCAAAGAGGCTCATAATTATCGCGAACTTTCTTCCATCCCCATTCATTTGTATCTACCAGTTCTGCGTCACGTTGAAGGCAATTTCTCCATAGAAAACACTGGAGTATCGTCCTCTTAAGATGATTTAATATAACTTCACACGTAGGTGGAATGTTTTCAGTGGACCTGTTGAATTAGCAAAATAGGATTCGCCTTGCTTCGTTGACAGGTTCTGCTGAGCTTGATGATACATAAGCAAATTTGTTTGTTGTAGAAGCATAAAATTATGCTCGTCCTATGATATAAACTGTGTGTGAGCCATATTTAGAAATTCACCGAAAGCTACTACGTCTACTTCCCTGAATCCGCACGTCTTCCATGCAGTGGTTTTGCCGATACCAGCAAAACTTAAAACATTTTCTGCACCAGTAAAAGCATGGAAGAAAGGAAGCAGGTTTGATAGCCCGGGTGAAAGCTTTTCATGCATTAGATAAATTGGAAGGTATTGAAAATGTCTTCCTATTCCATATTCAATCCACAATTCCTCTACTTTATCTAACATAGAAAAGGCGTACATCGCAATGACAACTACATAGCTGTCCACTGTTTTAATGTTTATTTTGTTATGTCCTTCAAAGATGCTAGCATGCCTCACGTGAAGTAAAAGACGAGCATCTGCTACTTCATGAAAAGTTGGAGATATATGGTCGTAGACTTTCATATTATTAGACCCAATCACACGGTTCTCATACGTGCAAACTATTTGTTTTCCAATGAGTACATCCATCTCTACCAAGTTTTCTGCCAAAAATCTGAACAGTTGTTGTTTGTTTTGACTGTGTGCTAAGAAAGTGTTTTGGTATAACTACATTAGGTTTCACGTTCACCCAGATTCCTCTTGCTTCTTTTCTACCTGTTTTTTAGCTGCCGGGTATATACTGATCGGACACAATATTTACCCTGTCTACCTTCACAAGTCTAGTCCGAATATAGGATTCAACAATGCTGTCGCTATGCTGTTGGAAGGTTCTACTGGACTGTGGTATCAACATATGAATAAGAACAGCCCCGTCAATGACTAGTGCAGATACTTCGAGCCGAGCATCTCGACAAAATGTTCAGTAATTTTAGTCGACCGGATAATGCAGGAAACAATGTCAGCTTTATTTGTTGGTTTTCGCAGTTTCCCAGATTCGAATATAGAAGGTGGACACGAGCTATTTTCCTTAGCAAAGAATTCATTGATATCTAAGTGCCTGATTTGCCTGACAATATAAAGCCTGCTAAAAATATTATTATCTCTTCGTAGGTCAACAATTTTTTGCTTATACTTTAAATTATTCCATTCAATAACATCATGTATTGATATTCGCCTCAGCCAGATTCGTTCTTGCACGAATGTTTTATATTACTTTTTCCAATTTCGTAGGCTGTAGCAACCGATTTTGAGCATTCTTCGGAGAGAAAAATTCTGCTGTTATTTACTGTAGTCAATGCATCGTCTTCAAATGGATTTCTATATCCCTCAAGTACCCGCACAAGAGAACCAACGTGGATTTGAAATCTACTGTAGAAACTTGGAGTATCTTCATGATGGTGGTCAGATTCTGAGATTGACCTAAAACTTCGAGTGTTTTCGAACTCGGAAATCATTCGCATTATTTCTGGACCCGCAATTATCTATTTCTGTGACTCTTTGTCTTGTCTCAAAACTGATAATGTGGTAGAACTATTTTTTATTAGCTTATTATTTTGCTCATGGACTTGATCATGTGCCATACGCGAGAACGTTTTATTTGTCTTGGATCCAAACATTTTACCGTTCTGAAACTCTCGATATATTTTTGGATGTAGTTCTGGTAACTACTTTAAATTAAATAAAAATACTGCAGCAAACATCCTAGGGCAATTTTTTTCCAAATATAAAATAATGTTGGTGAAGTTGCCTTGACGAATACTGTGCACAAAATCCAAAAGTAATGACTCAAGTGTTAGGGTTGTATACCAGTATTTGAATTGAACTGATTTCTCAATTCTATTTTTAACCCACTGGAAAAAAGACTGCCCTACCAGATGTCGTTATTCCAGCTTCAACTAGACTGTCGGTCCAACCGCTTCCTTCTAGCCAAGTTCCTATCAGGATATAATGGCCATTTCTATATGAAGACCTCCTAGCAAAAAAACCATTTTGTTTTCGCAATAAATGTCTGGCATCATCCACTGAATTAACTTAAACCTAGCATATACTGGTTGGTCTGCAATTATCACTGGTATCTGATCAGGACTTATTTTGTTTAATATTTGTGGGACATAAGCAGCCCAGGGGATTATGTCATTACTCTGGCAGAACTCCCTACCAGACAATAACCATTCTTCGTGTTCTGGCGAAATATCGTAGATAACCTGTGGTATTGTAACCAAAGGATTAACTGTACAAAAATGAATGCCACTTTTAAGTTTTGGTGTTGGAAGTAAAGTAGTGTAGTTTGCAGGAAGGCGTGGAAATGCCGATATATTGTTAGTTGTCATATTAAAAGAACCAGAGTTAGAAATTTTGATATCATTTTCCAAATACTGTATTAGGGAAATAGATGTGCCATGAAAAGCATTTGTAGATGTATTGGATGACGAGTTGTGGTCTACATTATCAATAGCCGCACATGTAAAAACATTTTCAGTTCAATTTGGAGTACAGACGATGTCTGCCTGTTGCTTATATGAAACACTCAAACTTAAGTCGCGAAACTTCTCAATAATAGTTCTGCTCCTGCTTCGCTGGTGTGCAACATAAGACCAATGTACAATGGTAAAGGAGTTTCTCTAACAGTAGGGTAACGGACATAAGCTGTTTTTCTCGTTGGTTTAATGCTTTCGAATCTTACTAATTGTGCTAATGAAAAAGAGGCATTTGAAATATCACGTATTTCTTCAGTAAGATCTTCTTCGCTTTTTGAAACCTTTCCTGTAGTAACTCCTTCCAACAGCATTCTGAAGAACATGAGCACATTTTGGGGGACATATTTATTTGCTGTGAATTCGCCTTTAAAGGAGCCATCGAATTTTGGGAAATTTGAAACATTTCCTGTCGGAGCATGTGCCTAGCCGCTCTAGCTAAGCACAAAAGCACATGCCTTCACTTGAAGACTTGCTTTCACAGGCAATTCTTATTGCGCTATGGACATCTCCTTCAAATGATAAAGTAATATCCCGACCAACTTTATCTTCACCCAAGCCTGGGATGAATGCTAACAGTTTTTCTTTTATACGAGTTCTGTTTATAGGAAAATCTTGAAATCTCATTTCTCGCAACCTAGTTTCCACTATGCCCCCTGACATGCCTGCAGCAAAAATTACGTCCAGTTGAACCCAGGATCGAGACTGTATCACCTGTCATGTATTTCTAACCGTGATCGCCTACGTCTCCAACAACCCCTATGGCCTCGGAATTTCTGACAGAAAATCTATGCCTCTAAAATAAGCTCTTCCTGTAGGTAGTGGCTCCATATAAAAAAACATTGCCAGCAATTACATTTAAATGAGATTCGAATGGAGAAGTTTTGGAAGGGTAAATTACAATTTGCCTAAAGGCCCTTGCCTACATAATCATTTGCATCTTCTTCTAATAGCTATTTATGTACCAAGGGCATTATAATCTTAAAATTCCCGTGGTGCATACAATGCTTTATTTTCTACTCAACACAATGTTTTTTCATCAATTTATTATTAACAAAATCAGTTAAACTTGAGTGACAGAATATTGTTTTGTATTTTGACATGTACCTGTACCTGTGACCTATACCTGTACCTGCGACCTGTGCCTAGAAACGAAATAATAGTTATTTATACACGAAGTGAGTTAAATGAATGTTTATTCATGAGAAGAAATTTTAACCCACGAGCCTTAGCGAGTGGGTTAATTTTCTTCGAATGAATAAACATTTTAACTCACGTGATGTAACAAAATTTTATCCCATTTTGTGGAAATTCAAGAAAATTAGTACAAGGAAAATTGCCGGGAGTGAGTTAAAAATATTTTAAATCACTGAGGCTTTAGATTTTTAGTTGGGCAGAGTGACTTAAAATGCCGAGAGTGAGTTAAAATGTTTTTAAATCACTGAGGTGATAAACGTCTACTTACCTTTACGGTTATGCGTTCGATAATGTCATTTTTAAACGTCAAAATGGGATAAATTAATATATCTATAAAAATCTCATAAGGCAAGGCAACGGTGGTGGTCCTGTGGGTTAACGCACTGGACTACATGGGAAACGTTGATGGTAGACCGGGTTCGAATCCTGGCTAGACCGAAAATTATTTTCGGTCAGACATTTAGTGGCTGTCTAGGGTAAAGTGCAAATTAATAGAAAAACAACAACAAAAACACCTTAGGGTATTATAAGCGGGCGTTATAGATCATAAAGCCCGCAAAAGCGGGCGTTATAGGTGTGTTGACGTATTTCGTTTCCTAGGTAGTATGGATCTATAATGGTAAAGTAGAAAATAAAGTTATATAAACCCCTGTTTCTAGAAAGGGTGCGAAACTTTAGCAGGAATGATCCCCTTTTTTGTGTATTATCACGACTTCGGTATTTTTCCATGGTTCTGGGATTTTTTCCTCTATCAGACATTTGTGTAACAGCATTCATATTGTCTCTGTTAGTGTTTTTCCACCCATCTTTAGCATTTCCGGTGTTATTCGATCTTCTCCCGGATTCTTGACGTTTTTCATCTGTTGGAGTGCGTATTTAATTTCTGATGGTGATATTTCCGGCATGTCTTCTGAGCCTACTTTTGTAATATGTTTAGGTGGTCCATTTGGTTTTGGTATAGTTGCTTGGTAGAGCTGTTCGTAGAATATTTGGATTTCTTTTATAATTTCCTGTTTCTCTGTGATTAGGATTCCTTGATTGTATTTTAATTTTACAATTTTCTGTTTTCCCCACTCGTAGTTCGATCTCAGAGCTCTCATGCCTTTATTTTTCTCTATAGTTTCGAGGATTTTGTTTGTTTTGTTTTCTCTTAGGTCTTTTCTTATTTCCTTGTCTTATTTAGGGTATTATACTCTGGAGAGTCTCTGTCAGTTTTTCTTCGTTTTCTTATTAGTTCTATCGTCTCTGGTTTTAATTTGGTATCTAATCTCTGTCTTATCCTACTGCATGAGGGACTTCATCTATGTCCTTATCCTGGAGTGCCGCTGGCCTTAGCGTCTTCTCCAGTTCTTTTTTATACGTTTCCTGATTGAGTTGCAGGGCATCTCTTGTAGGAAATGCATGTCTGGTGACTAGTCTTCTCCTTTCTATGGTGGTGCTTATTTGTATCTGGCACGCATTAGTCTATGGTCGCTTTCTATCTCAAACCTGTTTAGCACTGTGACATCTTTGCAGATAGTGTTCCTGTTATCGAAGATGAAGCCTATTCCATTTTTCACTAGTCCCCCCGGGCTTCGCCAGGTCCACTTCTTTTGAGTTTATTTTTGGAAGAAGGTGTTCAGACAGTAAAATCTGTTTTTTTTTTTAAAGATAAAAGTCAAAATGACATTATGTTGGCAATGCAATGTAAAATTGTCAATGCTTTCAAATTTTTTATGTAGAAAAGGCTTGTGTTGCCAACATAGTTACTAAATTTTTGACTTAGGGAATTATCTTTAAAAAAAAAACAGACTTTAGAATTTTTCGTTGTTTGAGAAGTTTACGAACGTATCTCCTCGTTCGTTCCGTTCT